ATATAAGTTCATGAAATAGTAGTTCAATAAAATTTTGAATGCGAGTCAACAAACGAGATGACACGACCTTCCACCCGTGACCCGTCTCGAAAGGGTTAACAGTAAGTATATCCATGGATAGTTGAACAAGATTACTAAAACCCAAGTCTCCACACACTGTTTCAAATTTCTCATAAATATGTGCAAATGAATGAGGGTCCATAAAGTGGGATGTTAGATATCTTGACTAGACAGTTCTCATTCCAGAAATTGATGTGCACATCCGATTAATTTGTATCTCACTGTTGATTGGCTTTGTTTTCTAACAGAGACGTGAAGTGGGGTGCTATCCCAAGTGTTACAAGATATGTTATTTTTCTTTCCCCACAAGTGATTTTTTTAAATATTTCAACATTATTAAACATAAACTGAAAAATGTTTCTGATCCCTCAAGATGAATTGTACAAATAATGTCTAGTGACTACTTTTGACTGTCCAGCAAATTTCTACAGATGACGATGGAATTGAAAAAACAAAGACTTTATGGTCCTTGCTAACAATGTTGGCTGTTTAATTGTAGAATGAAATGCAGTCACAGTTGATGGTGGTGGTATGATGAAATCCCAAATCATTGGCATTGCTTTACCCAGTGTTCTATGTAGTCCTGTTGTTTCTTTCCTTTGAAATGTGTAAAAACAGAAATATAAATAAATATATTAACACTAAATTATGTGCACATAGTTAGTTTGAGATAAAAGTGCCCCAGACTCCTTAAATATTGAAGATTAAAGTTATATTTATGTAATTCAGTGATGTTTACCTATTCAGATATAGATTTATATATTACAGAAGTTTGAAACTGACAACAAAAACTAAAGATGAGTCTGCAGCAGATCACAAGCTTATAAAATTTGATACTTACAGCGACACTGTTGTGAAGTTTCTAAAAAATAACCATGATTTTCTTAGGGCATTAATGATAAAATCAATGCTGTGAGAAAAGTTCTTAGTTTTGCTGCGAAGCCTTGGAATTATTACTTTGCTAGTTATTGCTATCAAAACTGAACTTGCATCTCATTTAACATGTTCCGTGTCTCAAACTGCAATGTAATACCACTTATTTTCTGTAGTGAAAACTAGTTTTTAGTTTCAAATGTACATGAAGTTCCACTTAAACACCGTGTATTTACAGAACATAATAGGCACACACACGTATATATATATATAAAAATAAATAAATAAATTATTTACAAATATTTATCTACCTTTGGTGAAATGCCAATATTAGACTGAAATGTTAACTGATTTTCTATCTTTTCTTATTAAACACAAGAATGTTATAAAAATGTTTATAAAACAAAAGGTAACCCTGAAGTATTAACACGTGCATATTTGACAGTATATTGATGGCAACAAAATAAGTTTTTTACAGTTGCTCCACAAATCAAATACTGTTTTTAGTCAAGTAACAAAAGAAGTAAAAAAATGAACACTAATGAAGATTTTATATGATACCAGCAATGCATATTAAAGAAATGTGCTGAAACCATCCATTATACAAAAAACACACTAAAAATAAAATTCTTTAGACAACAATCTTGCCCTAACCATACCTAACAAAAACAGATCATCAGGGAAAGTTTGGTAATGTGCAACAGCAGAAAAAGGCAAAAAAAGGTCAGTCTAATGATCAGCCTCATGGCTCGAAAAAGAAATTCTTCATGTAATTCTTGTCCGATTACACAAATATGTATTTATATATAAATACCCATCAAAACAATACGTTTCATGCCAGATGCTACATTTCCATTTTTGATGGCAATATAAACGGCTGATTAAAAGGTTGTGGAGGGAAGCAGTACACATTTGAGTTTCCCAACAGAAGACCAATAATTTCTTTAATATATTTGTTTTTGTTAAATACAGTTAGGGCATATCTATTGTTTAAAGATAATTATTTTTCTCTGTCCAATGTCCTTTGTATTACTTATGGTTTTAACACTTTTCATTAACATACCTTACTGGTACTGTGTAAAACATTCCTCATCATTCAGTTCCAACTGCTTTTGCTAATTGCCTTAAAATGTTACCTATGGCAAAATACTGAAGAAGAAAAAGAGAGAGAGAGAGAGAGAGAAAAAAAAGCTTATTGTTTCAGTACAACTGATATACTGTAAAATACACACAGGCTATATATACAGCAGAGTTCATTTGCACTACGTTCATCTGAAAGTCTCTTTGAAATTAATGCCACAAAGTTTGGCTGTCTTGAAAGAAGACAAAAACAGGTTAGTTGACATTAAGTATCAATGAACTTACCTTTATTGTAGCTAGTTTGTGCAGGTTCACCCATTACAGATAGATGAATTGGTATCTTTAAACAAATGCAGTAAGCTTTGCTTCAATTAACTGTATCTTTCTTCAGTCAAGATCTGTATTCCCGTTTTTACAACCACCTGTCACTGAATACACACTTCCATAGAACTTTAATGCAAAATTAGGCTAACTTGAACGTGATGCTATTATTCATACGAGGAAAACTGATGGACGGACACTGGTACACATGACAATATTACTTATAGGCTATACTTTTAATATTTTAATTTAGACTTTTATAGTGTTTTGTCAAGGATTGTTCTAAAGTAGATGTGATAAGAAAGCACAGGACTTCTCAAATGTTCTTGTGTGTTTTGGACTGGCATGCCATTAGAAAACACATTTAATTATCTGTTGTGTCAAAATGGAATGACTGCTAACACTATGTTAGTGCATATGGCTAGACAAGCATCAGGACAATCCAGTTTTTGTCATAACTGTTTGGAAATGATAATGCACTTAATTATTTTTAAAGTTATTAAAGTTCAAGATTTGGTAATCAAAATACTTCAGTTAATTATTGGAAGGATCTTAATGGATAGTGAAAAAACAGATGTATGCCAGAGCTGGTTCATTTATTGAATTTTAGCTAAAAATAATGGAAGGTGTATAAATTTATTTAAAATACTACTTTACACTTAGTTTCTCATCCTAAGGTAAAAATGAGTGTTAGAATGCCTCTTGGTTACACACTTTTATTAATACTTGGTTTACTTGCTATAATATTTTTTGGAACCTTGAATTATTACACTTTTGAACCAAGTTCCCTTACAAAATTAATTAATTAATTACTTGATAAATCTTCAGAAATCCATTTTTGTACTTTGGATTTACAAGCCACACACATTTGTGCAATTTTACTGTGCTTTTATCCATACTATACTATCCCTAAACACACAACTTTTCTTCACCATCAATACCCCCCCACTGTTCAAGTGCCCTTCTCACATTCTCACCACCACTTATTATAGAGAGTATATCAAAGATTTAATTAAAATATATTAAAAGTTGTCCATTTCATGTTCAAAATCAGATGTATGTGAAAATGGCGATTCAGCACGACTGACAAGTTCTAGATTTGACTTGCGGGAAGCAAAACGAATATTTGAAATGTTATTTTTTTACACCTCCTTATCTGAATCAGACAAGTTAAGAGGAATGTGGAAAAAAAAAAAAAAACACTCAATTCACAGTTTTTTTGTGACAAATTTTAGGTCTACAGGTTTCTAATGCTTCAATAATTTTTTTGCATTTAAACTGATACTTAATAACATTTAGTATCCTAGATTTGACTCGTACTCCACCTATCAATGGTTTGACTTTTATAAATACCTGCTTAATTAGGCCTACAATCAAGTTTTTTAGTAGTTTGTGTAAAGTCTAACAAATTCATAATATTTTGACATACAAGAAATGAAAACAATAACAATTTAAGTAAAGAGATTTGTGTCTTTAGAGAATTGAGTGTGAATGGAGATGTTTGTAATGTATGGTACTGTGCAGAAACACATCGGCTGAAGAATAACATGCACATTATCTGTATCCTTTGTTTTATCACTGTTTGAATAGATAAATTTTCCCATAGCTAATATTAATAATATGATCAAGCACTGGTAAATAACAGATGTACAATATCAGTATCTATATACCTAATTTTCTAATATATAAACTTGATTCTTCCCTGGTATTTTATTTCTGTAACACATTTCAAGAAAATTTCTTCTCATGGAAGAGGGTGCCAATTTTTAACTATAATCTATTGATTCTTCCCTGGTATTTCCATGAGAAGAAATTTTCTTGAAATGTGTTACACAAATAAAGAGGGTGCCAATTTTTAACTATAATCTATTGATTCTTCCCTGGTATTTCCATGAGAAGAAATTTTCTTGAAATGTGTTACAGAAATAAAGAGAGTGCCAATTTTTAACTATAATCTATTGGCCTTATTATACTATCTTCTAGATTTGATGTTCACAACTTTCAATGGTACAGAAAGTATATGATTGGTTAAAACATATGATAAAAGAAAGCTCTCTAGTATTTTTCAAATACTAATACAAACTAACATTCTACAAGCACTTTCCTAGGTGCATACATTCTCTGAATGAATATACGTTAATAACCTGGTAACAGCATTCATAGAATTCGTAATTGCTATTATATCTATTTAAACTGTAAAAACCAACCTCGGAAAAACTGCTTTCAGGATCTGGAGAAGTAGTAATTGCTGAAGGAACTGTTGGGGAAGCGGTGTTTAACATACTTTCTGCTGAGGAAATGGCAGCTGCCACAAGTCCTTCTGAACTTGTCTCAGGGGCTGAAAAGTCAAACATTCAAAAACCTTGAATTCATGACACAATAAAGTAAAGCTTTAAAAGATAAACCTCCATAAGTAAAATTATAAAACATTTGGCTAATACAATTTGTAAGGTTTGTGCTCAATTCTATTTTAAAGTACACCCAAAAAAATAATTCCTTATACATAAGGGTGTTGTGACCACTTTATGGATGGGGGGTGGGGCACAGATTGTACCAAACGGAAACAAACATTTTACCAAATGAAGGTCACATAAAAATGATTAAAAAAAACACACTATTCACAAACTGCAAGCTTTTATATCCTAATGATAAAGTCTTGTCAGTAAAAGAATAAATACTTAAAAAGTTTGCAAGAGCTAAGAAATATAGAATGCAATACAATTAATAACTTTATAGTTACTTTTTGTTGAATCATTTTACATTCAATTTGGTTAACCTAACTCCTCATGATTAGGTAAAATTTAAAGCATCTTTCTTGATTATTGTTGAGTTTTGAAAACTTGATCTGGTAATGAAAAGTAAAATAAGGGAGTGCAAATTTTGTTTTTACTGAATGGTTTTACTTTCAGTGAAAACAAACTCCTTACACAGGCAAGCATAAAATCATTTTATACAACAAGAAAATTAAACTATGTAGCAAACAATTATTAATTAATTTAGATGAACTGATGGCTTGAGAGTCCAGGGCACCGATATGTTCCCATGCACTCACCGATTATAATGTTTGCTACTCGTACATTCTAAAAAAGTTGTTGAACTCAAGGTACATTCGTACTTAACTAGCAATGTTTTGAGCCAATTCTATAAATCCTATATGAATGAGTTTCAATACAGACCCATGAAATAAAATAACAAATGCTGTCTACATATCATTCAGTAATTTTTAAGTATTCATAGACAGGTTTTATAGCTTAGTACTTCAGGTATAACACATCAGTTAATTTTTTTTATATTTAAAGTTTTTTTTTAATTAAGTGCCATTTCAATATTAATTGATAAATGTTTTGTTCAGGTTACAACTTACTTGTAGGACTAACCAGGCCAGTAACACCAGAGCTTGGAGGAGTTGATTGTTTTCTTCTCACCTGTTCCTTGTAACACTGGGAGCACAAACCATCACTGGCAGGGCTACCATAGAAACCACAACCAGAACGACAAAGAGCGTTCTGCGACACCTGATCAGAGTCCCTCTCCATAAGTCCTTAGACAATGGCTACTTACAGAAAAGGGTCTGTAGGAGACAAAACTTCACCAATAAATATAAGCATTTAAATAATAATAAATACAATTTGCAATTTAATAGTCCTTTTTTATGATTTAATAGCAATTTTAAAACATATGATATGGACTTAACAGATACATACATTTTAACTCACAGTAATGCAAGACTTAAAATCCAAATTCTTAAGTTTCATAAAAAAGCAACTTCTCATCAGAACACACAAAATGCTGAACAACTGATATGCTGCTCCATAGTTCCACTACAAGGGAATGTACAGTGATATCATATACATACATTTTGGCTTTAGCATAGTGGTTGACCCAGTGCTGTATTTGTGTGATGCTGCTTAGAAAATAACGTGTTGTGTTGGGGGTCTGAAACTGCAAAATGAAGATGTTTACATAATAGGCTAGATTACTGTGTTTTCTTAAGAATGGATACTGGAAGAATATGTCGTAGCTCGTACATAGAAAATAGCATTACCAGATTGTATTAATCAGAAACAACTTTCTGTAGCAGTACTTAATAAATATATTTCAAGTTACTATAAATATACTAATTTTACCCTAATTACATTTGTAGATTCACAGTCAACAATACCAGGGTAAAATAATTGTAAATACTCATTTTCCCTCTGCGAGTGGTATAAAATGACACCACGTCATTGTACCTTCTCTATTGTTAGCCAGGCATGGCTGAAAGGTCAATATAATAAAAATAATATATATATATATATATATATATACATGTCTAATGTTACTAGATTTAAGCTATTTAATCTAAACATTTACATTTTTAATGTTATAATCTGTAGTCCTTTTAAAACAAAAAAAAGTCATAATTTATATTTATTTCTTAATTTTTTTATGGTGGATACGAGATCAGTCAGATCGACCAAACCCGTACAGATATTCATTATTGAAAAACAGATACATTATAGTTTTTCTTAAAAAACATTTGATAACTACCTAAACATTACAGGGATTTCGCATGTGAAATATGAAAATTTTCTGATACATAAAAGTATTTTGTGTCTTAAAATGAAAATTACTTTGCATGTTGGATAGCTGAGGGAGGATGTGGCAAACGAGAGTGGACATGATGTTGAAGTAGAAAAGAATCTGCAAGAATGCAAAAATCAAGTGAGGAGGAAAGAATTAAAAATATCCCAGTATTGGGGTTCATCCAATAATCTCACCCATGGACCAGCAGAAACAAATGAAGTATGAGAAAAAAATGTTACATATCTGAGTTGTCAGAGTAGCAAAGAACAAAGGTGAAGAATGTATGATAGAACCAACCATTTGATGTGAAACGGCAGTAACACTGCTCATTAAAGTATCTCCAGTCTCCATTGATGTAGAATACGACAATTTCTAATGAAGGGTGTCTAGACCCCAGGAGGCTTCAGAATCATGGGTACAAGTACGATTACTTGATAAGATCAACAAATTATGTTAAGTGAAAGTAATATTATCTATTTTAATTATTTCATCTATAACTTCTGTTACATCTTTTCCTTTTTTCATCTTATGTTGGACAAAACAGATTATCAACTTCTGCCTGAACCCTATCCCAATCTCTTGAATTCTCACAAATGTTGTGGCTTATTTTTTGTAAAGAAATAATATAAGAAAGATAATAATCCTTAACAACTCTTACTGAAATTAATTTCAAAGTTAAGCATAGCTCAAAAGATTCTTTGTTTAACAAAAGGCCTATGAAACAAATACATCTAAGTAGTTTAGTTACAAGGTAAAGAATGAGATTTTTCTTCAGCACTCAAGTGGAGTTCTACACAAGAAGGTTTTGTTGCCCTCCTTTTTGTGGAAAGGTAAAGTCTGATGTTGACTGCATCATAGAATACCACAGTACACATTATTATGTGAATGGGTGAGAGCTTGTTAACCCTTCTGACATATGACCTATGGTCACGGGTCAAAGGCCAAGTTACAAGCTTGATAAATTATAGTGGAATTCTGTGGTATTTATAGGGTAACTTATGATTTTTTTTAAATTAGAAATGTATATATATATATATAAAAGCTAAAAAAAATTTTCTTTCACATCCTCTATTTGTGAAATTTGATAAGGCTTAGCAGCAAATGAGTACAAAGTTTGGAACTAGAAGAAATAATCTTGTGTATACTTCTTTATTTACTGTTCTATGTAATAAGAAATATAACTAAAATTTAATAACTTATTTGTAAATAGTAATAATGTGTATTTTACAAAATACTGGTCCACCAGAACATAGCCAAGAAAGGGCAGTTTTATATGTTTGGTAACATGAGTGCACAACTTCTGTAATGTTAATCGCGTACAGCTGAAAGGTCAATAAATTAAAAATACATAAAGAGAGAGAGAGAGGAGATTTAAGCTATTTAGAATAAACACTTGTATTTTAATGTTATAATTTGTAGTCATTCTAGAATGAAAAAAAACGTAATTTAGACTTCCTAATTTTTAAAGTGGTTACAAGGTTAGTCAAATCCACAAACCTGTAGAGAGATACAATAGCGTAAATAACAGATAAAATATAAAGTTTTTCTAAAACAAAAATGTTTGATAATTATCTAAATGTTATTAAGATTTTGCATTTGAAAATTTCTGATGCATAAAAGTATTTTTAATCAAAATTACTTTGCCCGTTCGATAGTCAACATTTGAAAAGAAAAAAAAAAAGCATGAAAAAAACATTACTTAAAAAAATCCTAAAACTTAATAAAAAAAAAAAAATTGATATTTTGCATACAAAAGCCTTTAATGTGTACTGTAATCTACAAAATTTTGAGAAGATACACTTACTGTATTGAAAGTTATAGCATGAAAACTATAACAAGCACAAAATGGTTATGAGGTCAGTTCCTGGGACTGAATCCGCAGTGAAAGAGTTAAACAGCTTGGTACACATGCAAATACCTAATCAGTGTTTTCCAGACTGTGGGAGGGCATGTACTAGTAGATGGGGAGTGGGCTTCTGCCAGGAGAGCCCAAAAATGACAATGAAGACAGAGCTAACCTAACCAAACTATCACTTAGTTCTCATTGTTTTGTTTTGTTTTGCACGCACACTTAATCAATCCTAAAAGCCTTTTTTTTTCATTTTAAAAACTTAATAAAAACAGGTAACAAAAATTTTAATTTTGTGAGAGGGTTGGTGGGGGTGCAATGGAAACTCTGCTGAGTTAGGAGGCAACATTGTTTAAAGTTTGGAAAACACTGGTCAAGGTGATAGTTATTTCTACAGCAGAAAGATAATGTAGCCTGAATCCAACAGTCTATAACAAAGTTAATATTTTTTTACTTTAGAAACATAAAATGAAGTGAAGAGCGCGTGTTATGAAATACTACACTAAGATTATAATGTTGCTGCAAATATGTCTATTGAGATAAACATAATCATTACAAGTCAAAAGAGGTAATCTTCTCTCTCTACACAAATCACTAGTTAGATCCAAGTTGAAATAATATGTACAGTTTTAGTCTCCTTATCTATCAAAGGATATTACATATTGGAGATGGTTCAGAGAGAGGGGTTGTCATAGAGATAGGATAAGATATTTTTTCCTCTTGAGAAAAGATGGGTAAGAAGTGACATTACTTTAGCTTATAAGAATGTCTGATGGGTTTAACAAAAAAAGACCTCTGATTTCTTTAAGCTATATTCTGAAGATAATAAAGTAAGGAATAAGAGGACACAAGTTCACAATTTAGAAGACAGTTATTCTTTAAAAAGGGTGATTTACTTATGAAATGGGTTCACATCAGCATTTGCAAAAGCCTGCATCTTACGTAAAAGGGGAATTGGTTTTTCTGAGAAATAAATGTTGGGTTTAAATTGTCATTTAAGGCCTAAATGATACATTGTTGTCCATATGTTCATCTCTCTCGGGTACAAAAATATAGCTCTGATTCTGCTTTATGTTCTTTTTTATCAACTCAATTCAGATACTGTTTTTTATTAAAGGATTGTTTCCATTACCAAAAGAAACTTACGAGTTTCAAATTTATTATTGTTTATGCAAATGAAATTTCAAAACTTTAGTTTTAATTTAAAACCCTAAGTAACTGTCAGTGTATATTTTTTTTAACATCCAAATAATCACTCATTACTAAGAAAGTAACAATGTAAACTAAATTGTGTTCCACAAATATCCCATTAATTTTATTATATTTCAACTACCTGTTTATATATAATAGCCACGTCTTGTCAAACATTGCATCTCCTGAACAGTTACCACAGGGAAAAACAGTTGTGTATTAAAAATATTTTCAAGAGAACATTACAGGAAAATATTGCAATTCCTAAAATTTTATATCAATATCAATCAGTCTTTCTTGGTATGTGCTGAATGGTCAATTTGAGAGAAAAAAAAAAACTTGAGGAAAATTTAAACTTCCTTTATCATATGATTGAAAGAAAGGAGCATGAACTGAAATAACTCGTAGAAAGAAGAACATGTTTGAGTCTCTATCTGTTGTTTAGTTTAAATATATATATATATTTTTTTTTCATGTTGGTATCATACACATTCATGAATGTACTGCATCATGTTGAATAAATTGACTTGAATTGAATGTCTCCTCTGTGACACTTCTTATTGAAATGATAACTATCAAAAAGTGCTCATTTCAGTAGCAGTCTTTTCTTGCACTCAGTAAAATGACAAGGAACAGTGGCACTCTGCAGAAAAATCCCCATTGGTACTTAAAAAACCCAAGTATTCTACTGGGCTAGATGCACCCATTGCATCAAAATCCAAACATTTTTGCCAACAGCGCATTGTTGTCAGATTCCTTTATTCAAAAAAAGCACAATGTAATTTTTCCTTATTGAAATAACATAAACTGACAAAATGTGGTTGTAAATGGCCCACTAGACAATCATATTGTGTGTGCACTACAATGCACTTTTTTTTTTATCATCATCACTATTTTCATGAAAATTACCATTGAATGATTGAACAGGCATTTGCTAGTTCCAACGTACAGCTCAAATGTAACCTATGCTTCTGAACATGGATGGACGTATACAAAAGTACATATTGAAACTTGAAAAAATACTCATAACAGGAGTTTTTTCATTATTATTGTAAACCCAGTTACATAATTTATCTTAACAAATGAAAAACATTTTTATTTCTATTGCTCCTCAACATATTACTCAGGACATCCACTCTCTACTCAGGAGGCATGCATGCTTGTTTGAAGTGTTAAGAAAAAATGATTCTTCCATGTATGGAGGTATTTTCTACCCCTCCTCCCATCTCAGAACAAGTACAGTCTTATATGCTTCTATCTAATTATTATAGACACCCATATTTACATGTATACTTTGTTGGGAACAGTACATTTACTTCTAGGTTAATTACACTGGTTTAAACGTTTTATTTATTGAAATTTACAAGCAGTATATCTAACTTGCAAATGTCATAATTAACAACACTGAAATAATGAGGAAGATGTTAATTACATACATTAAGTACTCGTTTGTTTTTGTTATTTATGATGTATCCAGCATAAAAACTAGAGAGAATTTGGAATTACGTTAGACTTAATAAGGTTGCCCTTTGGGCTTTACGTACACTACAATGCACATGTTAAAAACTTGTTTGCCTTAGTTTTAAGTTATAGCATGTGTATGCATTAAGAATTTGTCAGATGTCTCTCTAGGGCTACTCTGGTATTCAGGCAGTGGTAAAATACAAACAGGCCCTGGGAATCTAGGTGTCAACACGTTAAGTACGGGGGAATAATACCCCTTTTCCAAAACTGTAGAATGCACGTCACCTATACCAAAGGCACTGCATGTATTCATATATACAAAATAAAATATGATAGAGTAATGTAATGCACATTACACTTTCTTTTGTGAGAAATATCAACTTTGAGGTTTATGAATTTTAAGTAGCAAAACTTACAAAATGCAGCAAAGCGTTTGTCTACAGCATTGATAAGTTATCAATATTTTGGCTATAAAGCTGTTACTGTTAGTATTATCTGTTTAAATAAAATATTCATACACTTTTCTTATAAGTTTTCCAAGTATATCTGCCCAATTACATTCATTAGCTGTAACCAAACTGGCAAAGAAAAATTAAACACCTTAGACTTTAGGCTTGGCACCAAATAAAGAAAAACAAAAAATAGTGGCGTGTTTGAGTAAAAAAAAACACTAAAAGTAAAACACAGAGTGCTTGTTGTTCAGACTCAGTCTCATGAATAAATGAAATAACGTGGGGAGGAAAAACGTAAATCCAGATCAAAAGACAGAATTATATTTTTAGGCTAGGGTTAAGCTGAAACTTGCAGTTCTTTAAATAATTCATTATTGAAAGGTCTCGTACCGAAATTAGTAACATCATATTTATTGATGTAAAGGCACAACTATAAACTAATTACACAAAGACAAAAGCTAATTTCTATTACAGTTAATGTAATTCAGGACTACAGCTAAGCTTTTTCCATCATCACCCAATCGAACATAACAAAATGGCGTCAACCTGCTGACTCACAGACTTGTTAGGATAATAATTAATTCAATGCTGTGATAAAAAGAATATAACAAATAAACCAATATAATTTTTTAAAGTAAATGATTATACTTGAATAGAGACTAAGTTACGAATCAACACCATTTTTGATAAACTTACCCACGATTGCCAGTTGTTAAATTTTAAATCCCCCCTACAATAAGACTACAGCCGTTTTCTCGTGCCTCCTTTCTTGAGAGGTGAGTCGCGAAGTATTGTTAGTGAATACGTCACGTGATCGAATGCGATTGGTTACAACGGCGCTAAATGTTAACTTAGATTACACATCACTGTTTACAAGTTGGCACTAGCTACACACACCTACACCTACAACACACACACACACACACTATATATATATATATATAACTAATAAAGAATTTTGCAAAAATTTGATATGAAATAGAGATGGCAATGCCAAAAAAGTACAGAAATATGAAAGAGATGAGTATGCAAAACCATACAAAAATCACTACCTAAGTAGTTAGATCTTTCCAAGAATAACTTTTATCTACGACTAAATGTTGAATTCCTGTCAGTTGCATGAATTCAGGTTTGAATAAAAGCATTTAAACTAAATATAAACTATATAAATATAATAGTTCTGTCTGTTGTAGGTCCATGTAATTACTTTGTAGGATGTGGATGGATCTTCACCACAATTGGTATGGATGTTCGTTAGGTCCATGCGAGGGTACGTACAAATTTTCAGTTTTGCGTTTTGCTGTTTTTATGGGCGTTTTTTACAATTACATATAAGGGAAACAATTTTTCATGTCCTAAGATAACCTTTCATCAACCATGAATTTACATAACTTCCGTCCAGGGGACGAGTACTCCAGCTAAAAGTGCTATACAGTGGCTAATAACCATAAGCTTGTAAGATTGATTCAGTACTTACTGGCTACTTGCGTAGGGATTTTTGTTTCGTTTTGTATATTCATCCCTACCTTATTTCTGTTTGTTTGTTTTGAATTTATGCACAAAGCTACACAATGAGCTATCTGCCCACCACGAGTATCGAAACCCGGTTTCTAGCGTTGTAAGTCCGCAGACATACCACTGTGCCACTGGGGGGCCCCTTATTTCTGTACTTTCTGGCATTGCCATCCCTACATCATACTTAATTTTTGCAATTTTTTATTATTTATTCCCCTCTTTTTTTTTTAAACAGTTTCATTGAAGTAGCAGGCCTGTCAAATTTCCCGTTTTCGGCGGAAATTCCCGATATGGAGTCATGTTTCCCGATCTCTCGACACACGACTAGGATCTCCCGATATTAACCTTTTGAATAATTTAACAAAAATAATAGAGTCGCAAAATTCAACTTCACAGAGTGCTAACCAGGATAATGTAAATATTTACTGTGTGACATTGTTATACTTTGTTGTTTTATACTGTCTGCTTGTTGTACCACATTCCAATACATCGAGTGAAAGGGCATTTTCAATGGTGAGAAAGATCGTAACAGAGAACAGGACTGATTTAGGGAATGACACAGTATGTGCCCTTTTAAACTGCAGATTTAAATCATATCACTCAGCCAGTAAATACAAGCCCAGCAAGCAGATATTGTAAGATGCCAAAAGTGCAACATTCGAATACAACAAACAATACTGACCAGGATATGTGTATTTTTTATATTTTTCAATTGGATATATGTATTTTATTTTATTTTTCAATTCTTACAATAAAAGTGTATAACAATATTAGCAGATGACTGTGATTTTCTTATTACAGAAGCCCACTGTAAAAGTGAAAATAATTTCAATATTGTAAGTATAAATAACTGTCTAAAGTTCCCCAGAATACATAAAATTGCACCTTTTTTTTTTCTCTAAATTTTCTGGTGGAGTATGCTCCCCCCTCTCCAGGGGACGCTAATTGCTATTGCAATGCCTCCACAAAAAGTATCCTGATTTGGCACCTCTCAGAGTTGACAGGTATGAAGTAGGTTGATAAGTGAACATTTCTTTTATTTTTATAATTCAATGATAATATATATTGTTAATATCATATCCGTTTTGTATGTCCTCCGGTGGCACAGCCTGCGGACTTACAACGCTAAAAACCGGGTTTCGATACCCATGGTGGGCAGAGCACAGATAGCCCATTGTGGAGCTTTGTGCATAACTACAAACAAACAAATCGTTTTGTCAGTTTCCATAATTTTGGATTACACTAGGAGCCAATGAAGTTGGAGTGGTTCCTTCGGGATGGTACAAATACCCAGATCACTGGACCAACGTTAAGGGGATACTTACTGAACCCACGCCTTCTAACTTTGCCTCAACTCACTGGATATACATACAATTGACTCCACCACAGGTTAGGTCCATATTGATGAATGGGGAGAGCATCATACAAATTCCAGGCCATGAATTATGATACCATGCATATACACACACACAGTTGCCAGGCTCGGTCTCACTAAAAATTTGAAGAAAAGTAGACCACTATATAATGTATTATTATGATAATAAAGAATGTGTTGTTTTTAAATTCAGACATCAATAACATGTACACAGATCTTTCAGTTGCATAAATACTTGATCTCATTGATACCTTGAATATTAATTTAGATTATTTTTTATTTTTTCTTTATTTTTACTGAAATTGTTTTGCCAGATATCATGTTTGTGCAATGAAAACTCACAAATGGTCGTTATATAAGAACAATTTGTGCTGTCATCTAGCGACCAGAATTGAAACAGTTATTTATGAAACATAGAAATAATATATGCTTATAAACTGAACTCACTGCTGAGTAGTAGTTTTACTTTTTATTATTTCCCCACAAAAATACGTGTGGTAGAAGAACAGATTAATATAACTGTTATACAAGCTGTGAAACACTCGATAATGGCAACTAGTTGCTCAAATAAGGCTATAACTCAACTTTAGCAGTTATCTGTAAGCATCATAGAATAATAGATCGAATGCAGCGGGCATTTTTTCTTGGTCCTTCCCTACATATTAAGCACTACTGTGCTTAGTGATAGATATACACATGTTTTATTTGTTTGTTGAAGCTAGTATTTTCTATTACAGTTATGAGAAGTTTATCAAGAACTTTTACTCAAAAATTCTAGAAAGTAGCATTGTCATTAAAAATATGTTGCTTGTTATTCATATTTCATAATGAGTTGAATATACTTATTACTTTTCTTTAAATGAGAGCAGCATCCTGATAATTTTGCAAGTTTAAAAACGTTGTGAAAAATAGGAAAAAGTCAACATTTAAGCGGATCTATTTCATGGATGCTATTTATCTGCTATATTCAATATCACATGCTTGTTGAATAACCAATGGGAGACTGCTAATAATCGTTTCTATTTTTATTCTCTTTTATCATATACGAGATGTTACACCCTGGGCTAAAGTAAATGTTTGTCCAATGTATCACAGTTGTTTATGTTTTTAACACAATGCATTTAAAAGTCTGCAGACGTACAATGCTAGAAACCGGGTTTCGATACTCGTGGTGGGCAGTTAGCCCATTGAGTAGCTTTGTGCTTAACTTCGAACAAACAAATCGTTTCTTGACCGTGAAAAAAAGAATACTACACTTTATACGTGCGCGTTTATGTAATGAAAGTAATATTCCGTTTCAATAGGAGAACTGCTTACAGAGGAAGTCCTGGCTAAGTAATTAGTATTAATACGTTAGGTTTATTTTGCTTTTACGCAAAGCTACACGATGGCTATCCACGCTAGCTGTCCCTAATTTAGCAGTGATAGACCAGAGGAAAGGTAGCCAGTCAATACAACCCACCA